GGGGGGGGGTGTTTTCCTGCATTTTCAGCTAAACAATGGAATGCACTGCATCAGCTCTATCTCGTTGACACGAACGATTTTTTTTTTTTTTTTAGGGAGGTAGCCTATAATACAAGCTATCGTCCGGTACCCACAAATACATCATACTCCTCTTCATGCCCGAGAACGAGCTGTTGGCGCGAGGGGTGGCTTAAGCGTTCGTTAATTGGCCGGTTTACTCTATGCATTCGAGCCTGCATGTAGACTGCTGTAGACCCAACGCTGTAGGTATGTCGCACGAGACACGAAACCTCGACCAATCTTCAAAGCTGAACTACTTTTGCAGAAAAACAGTGGCGGTACCGAAAAATGGCGACTTTGCAACTGTCTAGTGGAGCTTCCGAAAGTTTAATTTAATTTTGACATCCTCGCCGTATTAATTAGTGGTGGGGGTAGTACTGCTGCTGTAGTTGATACAAGCTTTGAAAAGTCCAGCAGCAGGTGTGGCATCTTGCGCGACCTACTGGTATATGCTGCAGGGTAATAGGTCCGTCCGGGTTGTTCGTTTCGATGATGTAGCACGTTGGAGTGGATAGTGACAGGCACAGGTGACTTGCCGGCCTAGGCCCATTTTTTATTTTAACTCCCTCGCCTGTAAAATACTCGCTACCGACCCTCTGTGAAGAGTGTCCCCCTGTACAAGCTAGTGAGTACCCCCCCCTTATCTTCGTTGTCGGTGTAGCATTTGCACGAAATTGCATGAGTTACAGGAACCGAAATGTACCATCATCGCTCTACACACATCGTGATACAATAATGAGCGAGAGACGGACGGACGAACGGGCAAAGGGAGGGCAGAGTCGTCCTGTTCGCTGAGACGTCGACGGGGTTGGGGAGGTCAGACGGGTATGGCGTCGCGCACCCTTAGCTGAAAATACACTCCATGTTGTTGCTGTGTGGGTAGCCCTGTCGGCTTCTTCGCGTTTCATTTCCGCGGTGAGAATCACGCCGCGCGCAGATAGCGCCCGCACTGAAGAATTTAGAAGTTAAGAAATTGAGACTCGGCAAAAAACACCAGCCAAGAACTTGATCACCATTTGTGAGCCCCGTTAAGAACACCCACACTAAAACCTATACAGTGGCCATTTGTAGCCCACAAGAGGATGATCAGCAAACCAAGAACCTCAGCCTCGGCCGAAACCAAAGGTTCATTAGTACGGGCGCCATCTGTATGTATGCAGGGTACGCTACAATGCGAAAGGCAATAAGAGTGCCACTGATGACGCGGGCACGCGATGGTTCCGGATGGCATGCGCTTCTTCCGTAGGACAAAGGCTCTCAGAGTAGTGAGAAAACCGTGCAACCCTGGGAGCTCTTAATTCTTGGTGGTGTTTTCCTAGCGAAGGAATAAGAGGCAGTGGGTTTAGAGGACGAGATCCGATTGTGAGTCTACTTCTGGAACGTCTTCACCCGAGGGGAGAGAACGGAAAGACGAAATATAAGCAGTGTGCCGGTTGCTCTTGCAATGGTGTTGGCCACGTGGAAAATGTGTCGAGACCATCAACAACAGTTATGTCGACGTCCATGTCATTGCTCTTCCAATCGTGGTCACCATATGGAAGAAAATATGTGTACATCATCATCAGTGGCTGTGTCGATGTCCGCGAGACAAGCGTGTACCAACCTCGAGCTCCACAACACGGCTCAATCATCGGATAGGCACCTCCGTCGCGATTCACGTTTCACACACGTCAGACCCCGTTGAGGGCACAAGCAGGTGACCGTTACAAAGACCACAGACTAAATAGTCCTCGTGTAGAGGCCACGAACCACGGCCTCCTCTCGTGTAGTCTTCACCATTACTACCCTTGGCGCAGAAAAGCTTCGGCAGACCACGAGCCTTCCAGCTCTGAATAGATTTCATGGCGAGGCAACCATGTAGCGCCCGTCAACGCGCGAGGTTTCGCGGACGGTAGACACATGAGTCGCGCACACGTTCGGTCCAGAGGAAAACAGGCGCATACTGTGATGCCTCAATAGAGCGTAGGGGGTCCGACAGAGTTACTCCTACTTGATATTTCGAAAAACCACCTTTAGGCAGCAAGTCGACGGTCGATGAACCCACGCATTCACCCGGAAAGAGAGTTTGTGAGACATCCCACTCGGTGGGTAATAGCCAAAATGCCGTGCGCTGACCAACACTCGCGGGAGAGGGCGAGGTCTCGCATGCTAGGTGCAGCGACGAGGTTCATCAGTTTCAACAGCGCCAAGACATGAATCGAAACTGACGGTGCAAGTGGCATCGTGTACGCCATTGGTGCACAGTCTACGCACAAGCTGGGCACAATGGATGATAATTATCCAATGCGACACGGACAGATGCTTTTCGTTCGAAAGTGCGCTCATTTCCTCCCTCATCTAATAGACTATCCTGCGACGCAAGCAAGCGGGCGACTTTTTGAGGGTAAACAGTCCCGCTTACAGGAGAGCCAATGATTAGGGGAAGGCCCAAAACTCAGGACCACATGATTATTTTTAGTCAGCAACCACCATTTGATATAGCCTGCATACAAACATGAACGCACATACTTGCGCCCTAGGGGTAAACGATATCTAGCTCTACCGTAACGCCAACCGTCGAAACAACAAAGCAGCATCCTTGCCTCGTTCCAAGTTGAACGACCAGTTCGTCGGAGACATGCTACGTGTGCTGCCCAAGGAAATTAACCACGAAAAGCTCGAGCTCCATCGTACAGCCCAAGCACACAATGCTCCAGGCGACTACCGAGCTATCGGTCACCCCTTGCCAAGGTCGAACAGCGACGCCAAGCCGGTCGACGCTCCCGCTCCCCGCCGCACCTCTCGCCGTCAGGCCTCCTTGTTTTGATCCATACAAAAAATGCCCAAATGAGCTCCGCCTCTCCTTCCCCCGACGCGAGCTACTCCTCGTCACCGTCCGCCGTGGCTCCGGGCGGCTTCAGTCTCCCGAAGGTCTTATCTTGGATCATCTCTAGGTACTTGGTGGTAAGGTGCTTGCAGTTGACGTAGTGGTTCACCCCTTCCTTGCGGTAGCAGGCGATAACCTCCTGCCGCAGCAGCTTGACGCGCTCTTTCGCGATCAGGTGTTCCCGCATAAACTGCTCCCTGGAGTTTGCCCATGCGACCGGGTCGCTGCGGTCGCTCTTGGGAACGTGCGGGTACGGCTGCAACGTCACGTCCGACACCCTTGCCCTCAGCTTAGCCTCGTCCGCCATGATGCTGTCTGTGTCGCGTCCCTTGCTATTTAGGACAAGCAGCAGCGTCGCTTGATGCGTACTCGATGCGTTGACGGGGCCTCTCCGCCGACTTGAGAGAGCCTGCAAGTTGGCGGCTCGAACTTCAAACACCAAGTTCTTCTACCCGTCCAATTGTAGCGTCCAGCGCTCGTGAACGATGTTGCTGAGTCTCGTAGCTGCAACCGGTTGTAGCCTGGGCAAGCAGTGCTCTGCTGAGGCAGGAGGGTGCCGGGAGGGTGCCATGTGTGCGGCACGAACATGCTGCACGGCGCCCCCAATAGTACACCCCCCTCCTCCCGGACCCTTCTACTCCGAGAGAGAGCACCATGGCACGAGCTCGCCCCTCTCCCTGCCTCGTCCACTGCTACCCAGAGTCGAGATTGAGAGAGAGAGAGAGAGAGAGAGAGAGTGCTTGATGAACATGCGGTACGCTACACGAGCTGCTGCTGCAGTAGGGGTCTTTGCGGCGTCGTCGGGGTCCATCGTCAGGGAGGCCTTCCTAGCCCCACCCTTGTTCCACCCAGCGGCGGTGCGCCACGGCAGCAGCAGCAGCAGCAAAGACAACAAGTTGACGTTCGCCTCCTCGACGGCTGCCGGTAGGCCCACCACAACCCCTCCGCCAAGATGTCGACGGAGCCATGGGCTGGTGAGGTGCGCTGCAGCCTCTCCATTGAGACCAACGCCGACGCTGTCTGCTGCACGGCGGCGCTCAGGACACCGCAGACCTCGCGATCCCACCGTAACGGCCATGTCTGCCGCAGCCGACGAGGGGGATGGCAGCGTCTTGGGGCCACTGCGTCCTCTGAGCCCAACTGAAGATGGGGGCGATGTGTTTAATCCCAATCCGCTGGCGCGGAACGACCCAGAGCGCGCGAGGGTGAGTGAGCAAGTCTCCGCAGCAGCAGTATATTCCAGTTGTACAGCAGCAGCGAGACCACGCACACCGCCCCAACCGCCGTATACGCCTTCGACACTGCTGCTGCTGTACTCGTACACAAAACTTGCTATATGTATGTCAAAGTAACCACCTGGGGGAATCGTGCTTGACAGACGTTGGAGGATTGCGCCCCTTCATGAACGGGATCTTCACAGCAGTAGTTGTTGTTGCAATGTATACGAGCAGTTTTTATACTGTTTCCGGTGGATGCCACGCAAAGGGTTGGGGCTAACCAGTGCCGAACGATTCTTTTCCCAAGCGTAGGTGAACAACCTCATCACTATCTTGGCGGGGACACCGATGGCGGAGTGGAAGCCGGCTGTGATCGACGAGTACATGGAGAGCTTGCTCAAGCGAGGCATCTTCCGGCAGACCATGGACGAGCGGCTGGCGAAAGTGCGAAGCGGGGAGGAACGGGAGGCGCTCGCCCGAGTGGATTCCTACATGACGGGCTTTCTAGGGCACGAGTGGCGTAAGGCTTCTCGAAAGAAGGTGGGAGGAGGAGGAGGTGGACGGGGACGGGGCGATGTTGGTTACGGCTTGGAGTTACCACTGCAGACTCTTTTTTTCGGCTTTTTGACAGAGTGTCCGTGCATAGCAAGAGGTCATCGTAAGTTTTGTGTGGTCTCATGCACGGCGTGTTGGCCGATGAGCGGCAGTTGGTATGAAGACCTGCACCAAAGACCGAGTCACGTGAGAATGTTGATGATTGCTCCAGAGCCACGCGGCTGCCACGCGAACCGAACACCTGGGTATGCTGGGCTCCGTTGGACGTGAGAGTGGTGCCTGAAATGTCTTCAGACATACGCCCAGTTGTCGCAACAACGTGCGAGTACAAGAAGAGCAGTACGGGGTCTATATTTTGCAGCACTCGTTTGGTTCGGGTACCACCAGTGGAAGCACTTTGGGAGATATGCCTTGAGTTAATAGTGTGAGACGCACATGTACCAACTGGAGATGAGTTATGCACAGAGTTTTTCCGAATGCGTCCATTCACAGCGTGTGCGGATACGTATTCTCTCAGCGTCGTGAGCAGTACCACTGCTGCTGCTCAGGGTATCTGGTGCGTTCACCAGCATTCACCTGCATAGCAGTGTTGCTGCGTACCTGTGTCACCAGGTTCTGGATCTACAACCCTGTGCCAAGAGGTTCGGTAAACACTCTCATAGTGCGAGATGATCGTGTGCAATTTTGGAGATAGGTCGCACGTGAGAGACCCCAACCTACGACACCACCTGTGCAGGCCTCTTTCATCTTGGGAAGATTACCGTGAGTTGCGTAAGATATCACACCCCCTGGACCGATTTGCAAAGCTCGGTTACTCCACGACCAAGGGGATGCCGGAGACAAACGAGGCGTGTTCGAAAACCTCTCGACGGGACGGATCCAATTCCGTGATTCTCGTCACCATCACTGATTTCCCTGCCGAGTAGTCATGCTCTGAAAATCGGTCTAGGGTATGTGGTATCTTACCCAACCTACAGTATTGGTCGCCGGGAAGAGAGTAACTGGAGCCACTATGCCATTCGTCAGTTTTTGTGCGGACGTGGCCATCCCTCAGCTTTTGCCGTACAGCCCGCCCGCTCAATGTGTTTCTTTTTCCTGCCGGTTGGTATCCCCAGGTGTCGGTAATTTTAAGTGCCGCAGCGGAAGGCCCGATGGAGTTGGATGACTGCGTCCAGACTTTGGGCAAGGCGGATCTTCTCGACAGCGACCTTACGGAATACGTGGCCAGCTTGATCACAGCTGAGGTGAGCCGCGTCGGCGACGCAGGATCATTATCAGTTCGACCGCATTTAGGTTTGACTTCGTCCGATGCCATGCGCAGGTCTTTGTTCTCTTCGGGTAGATCTTGACGACGTTGGTCTTGCTGTGGTGTAGCGTGCACCGTCATGCTCTGTGATGCAGTAGAACTTGCAGCCGGCGATGCTGCAGGGAAAAATGAACCAGCCGTGAGAGGGAAATGGTTCATGCTCGCTGTGGCAACGGCGAAGACAAGATTTCTGCGTATGACACACTTACGCATGATGTGCTCAGTCTATTTACAAGATTTCTTTTGCGTGGTCAACAAACGCCAAAGGCCTACGCTGCTTGCTCTGCCGTGATGCAGGAGCGAAAATGCGTTAAGTCGGTGCTGCTGAAGGTCCTCAAGACTGTTCGGGATCGGATCCAGGCCGAATTGAGAATGGGGTGAGTGGGTTCAAACAATTGATGCCGTCGTTACGAGCGGCGAATTTGCATGGGTCGTCGCTTTGCGGGCCGGATACCGTGTAGGACACCCGTCGCCATTTAATATTGCGCCTCGTGTCCTGTTTTTGTCGAATTTGGGTCGAGCGCCAGGACAAGAGCATTTCATGGTTTGTGGAAGCAAGACGCCAGCCCGTAAGGGTACGCGGACGTAATAACAACGTCTGGCGTTGTTGCGGCCATTTCCCGTAACAGCAGTTTAGCAGCGAAGCCACAGGCGACGACGGATGGCGTAGTTGTTCATGCTAGCAGCGGCTAGGCAGTGGAAACTGTTTAGGCGACACGTGGATACATCCGTTCGGGCTCTCCCATGTGCTTGGTGGTCTCAAGTAGGATACCCTCATGGGCACGTCCCACACGGCGTGATGAAGCTCTGCTGTTGTTGATGCTACGCTGCACCCTGGGACATGAACACCAACGTGAGCTTCATCACGCCCTGGGACATGCCCACGATGGTATCCTACGTTGGGCCGCCAAGAAAATGGGAGAGGGAGTGCCGTGCTCGTCAAGCTCGAGGGCAAGAATCTCCACTAAAGGGCCACAGTCTTGTACCTCGCACCTCCTTGGGTGTATGCTTGGGCTTGAACTGTGCCATAGAAACGCGGACGTACACTATTGCTGACCCCCCAGGTGGAATAGCGTATTTGGCCGCGGCATTTCCATACCGCTGTGGCCCACAAGCAGATGATCTGCGTCATGAATCGTCACCCCATATAATCATGAGTGATTACATTCCAAGCAGAGCGATTGTAGAAATACCAACCAGATTGCTTTCTTCCACCCGCCCTTCCTTCGGACACGACAGGGCACGACCGGAGATCCGCACTCTAGCGCGAGCGCTGGCCATTAAGGACGGTGCGCAGCGGAAGGAGTTCCTGCTGCACGCCTTCCCCAAGCTCGAGGAGCTGGACGAGTTTGTCAAGTTCGTGGAGGAAGGGATTGACTTCCTGGGGGATGATTTCGGTTTCGCGGTGCGGACGAACATGCCGCAGGAGCACTTCGACAAGATGAAGGCGATCTACGCTGAGGCCTCGGCCATGCGGAGGATGTACTTGCAGTGATTGATGGTGGTGGCGTGTTTTCATCGGGGACGCGTTTTGGACGGCTTGTTTTGAGACGGCGTGTTAGAACGGAGTGATGTCCCTCCAAGCTCGATGAATGTGGGGAATCGACTACTATGCAGCCAGTCGTTTTCATTCCATAGTCAAGGAATATTGGGGATCATTTCTATGCGAACGGTTTTAAGTGAGTTCTTAAGGGCAGCGTGTATCGTGATATTGTATGGGTACGCCAGACGCCGGGAACAGGCGAAGAAGTTGCAAATGGCCAACAGGCGCAGGGAGTGGCACTCTCGTACGTATGTGTGCATGGTTCGTTAAAAAATCGGTTGCGGAGCAACCAACAGGCAGAGTCTCGTGTACTTTCCCTGCGAGCACGAGACGATATCCCTGTGACAACAGGGAAGAAAGTCGTTGGAAAGCCGATATTGGCACGGAGCTGCACCGCTCACGCCCATGTCCTGTTGTTTCGTCCCTATACTCTCTGGAGGCTGTGAAACGTTGCGGATATGACTATCCCTGCCCATTCTAACCGACGGAATGGAATACGAGACACAACAAAAGTAAGTCCGGCACCAAGAGAGGACCGGCATGTACCCTCCCGCAACAGAACACGAGAGACCGATACGACAACTCCATGTCTCACGAAGGCACTATCTCTTCTTTCGCGTCATCGCCGTCCTCGGCTTTAGGCTCTAAGACTTGGCTGAGCAGGTTCGCAGCCGCGGGAAGCACGCCGACCGTGTTGCCGTTCAGGACCATGCCGTCGAAAGCGACGCAGAAGTGCTGGGCCCGCTCTGTATCCAAGACGGGCACCCGCGGATACCTCTGGGAGAAGTGGGTGAGCACGACCTCCCCCGCCCGCATGCGCCTCCCTACCTCCAGCGCCTCGGACGTGGTGCAGTGGAACTTGGACACGGCGTCCTGGTGCATCGAGTCGTCGAAGGTGGCTTCGTGGATAAGCAGAGCCGCCCCGTTCCCTGCCCTCACCAGGCGATCGCAGGGCCTGGTGTCTCCGCTGTACACCAGCTTTGCACCGTCCTCCCACAGCTGCAGGACGAGGCCGTATGCCTCCCGGCAGTGGATGACCGGCACCGACCGCATGCCGCTCAGCAACGCGGAAACCCCTCGCCTGCTGCCCCGTCTCGTGCTGGGGCCGGCCCGGGTACCGCTGCCACCCCGCCAACGCCAAGCCCGCTCGAGGTCCTTGCAGCGCATTGCTTGAAACGATATGTCCTCTCCCGAAAATTCTTTGCACGCCTCCACGAACCTGAGCACGGCGCTCGGAGCGACCACCACCAGCGGGGCAGCTGCCTCCCGCGACCCTCCCCCGGCCGGCCGAGAGGCTTGGCGCGCGCGGTGATGCTCCGCAATAAGGCGAAACAGCCCCGTGTGGTGGTCGGCGTGCTTGTGCGAAATCCACACGCAGTCGAGCCCCCGGATCTCTCGCAGCGCCCCTTCCCGCCCGAACTGTCGCTCGAAGTGCCCCAGGGTGCCCTCGCCGGCGTCTATCAGCAGGCGCAGCGGCGCGCCCTCTGCGTCCAAGCCATTGTGGCCAACCAGCCCAGCCTGCGGGATCCGAACCAGGATGCCGCTACAGCCCCTGTTCTTCGTAGGTGCTGCGCTTCCCGTTCCGAGGAAAAAAACTTCGGCCCCGCCCAGCCCGCCGCCTGAGAACAATGGCGCCCGCTGCGGCGGCGGTGGCGGTGGCGGTGGCGGTGGCGGCGGCGGCGGCGGCGGCAGAGAACGTAGTCCATGGGAGGGGTGATGGGATGCCGGCAGTCCACTGCCGTTCCCTGTCCGTGCTCGCTTTCCGGGAGGACCACCGTTGCTGTACAACGGGGGCGGCGGCGGGGGAGGCGGCAGAAACGAAGAGAGTCGCGATGGTTGCGTACCTGAGCCCGAGCCCGAGGCTCCCGGCTCGTTCCGCATCGTGGCGTCGGCGTCGTACTCTTCTTCATCACCATCCTCTGTACCTAGATTCAGGCACTCGTTCTGCAGCCCGCTCTCTGTAATCAGACCGCTTGGTAGCCCGCTCTCGCTCATCAGCCCGTGAGCCCGCCAGAGCCTTGCCACAATTACATCCCTTTCGTCTCTCAGCCCTGCTTCCTCCACCCTCTGCTCCATGTCCTCCCATATCTCGGCAGCCTCAACCGGAGGTCTTACGGCGGACAAGTTGATCCCGCGCGCGGCCACCGGCAGCAACATCGCCTTTGTCAGCGTGTGTCCGACTACGGTCCTTGATCCCCCGGTGCATATTTCCTCGCAAGAGCTGACACTATCAGCGCCGTCGTGCCTCGCCGTATTTACCAGGGCGGAGTGCAGCGGGAACGCCTGCGGAGCCACGAAGTTCAGCTGGACAGACCTCTCCGCCAGCTTGCGGTGCTGCAGCCCGCCTGCTCCGCGCCCGCGCCCTTCGCGCCCACAACCCAGAAGCATGTGGGTGCCCTTGAGGGTCAGCAGCGGGGCGTACGCCGCGCTCTCGACCACGTCCTCTGGGGATAAATGAAAAACGAACAGGACACTAGAAGCGTTTTCGAAAAAGATGAAGACGGAGGGTTGGGGAAAGGGGAGGGGGGGGGATCGTGGAACACTTGGTTTCAAAGGATTGCCATCTTTCGTGGGTGATGGATCGCGGGCAGAAGGAACAGCGAGCGTCGGCCTGGGTACGGGTGGTACGGTACGGTACGCGTCGACAAGGGTCTGAACAAAACCGTCATCCATGAGAGAACGAGTTGAAGCACGTGGGAAAGAATCTGTGTGAATAATCTACCACAACAGAAGACACCCAAAACTACGGTCGAGACGGAACACCCACCGCCTCCGCAAGTTCGCTGTCTTCTCAAGAGCAAAATATCACTAACCTGTCTTTGCCTCGTGCGCCTCTGACGATGGCATGGTCCCTGACGGCCGGAACGTACGCGACGTTCGGACAGGATAGCACAAGGAAGGTAGACCCTTCTCCGTGCAGAATTCTGCAGCGGTAGAGCACAGCAGGCCCCCGAGCAGGGATACCCGCGGGTATTTCCGGGTGTCGGTCCGCTCTCGCACCCTTTGGGTGGCCTGCTCCCGGGTTAGCAATGGCTCCGCATCCGTTTGCCGCTGCCTTTTTCTCGCCGCGAGGTGCTGGGGTGAGGCTATTGGCACCAGCTGCACTCCGTCTGTTCGACACCATGTCGTCACCACCGCCACAGCTACCACCGCCGCTTCTGCCGTGTTTCTGCTTGCCCCCCTGTTCCTCGCCCTTCTTCCCGTGGCCCTCGCTTCCACTTTCATCGTTGGAGCTGTCATCGTCGTCATCGCCGCTGCTGCTCTCTTCGCTACTGCTCTCTTCACTACTGCTCTCTTCACCGCTGCTGCTGCTGCTGCTGCTAGAGCTCTCACACGAAGAAGAGTCGACCGTTACCACAGTCTTCGACAACTGCGCTCGTGAAGGGTCCACCACGCCGCACCTGACCTCCATGTGCTCATCCCCGAGCACGTAGCTGCACTGCGATTCGCCTGTTCGTTTCATGGACAAAATCGTAGGGTTTGCGTCACGATTGCCGTGGTTACCGCTCGCGGGATACGTGCAAGCAGCGCGTGGATTCGTCAATCATTGCAATCGTTTTAGCCTAGTCAAGGTCGTCGGTTTCAGCGTGGTCATCTCTAGAACTACCGCTGTCGAGTGCAGTTCTTAGCCGCACCGTTCCGGTACATTTCGGTATTGATGTTGCACTGTACAAGAGTCTAAGAAATGTGCATCGACTCCTACCGGAACCAAGAGGGAGAGGCATGGGTGAAACCGCAGGGCATCTGCCGACTCGTGGCCCAAAGGCTTGAAGACCTTCCTGCAGACACCGGAACGGCAAAGACAAGACAAGGGGGACCAAAGGGCAACAGAGATGTATGTAGCTGTGAGAGGAGAGGAGAGCACTGGGCTTTTGGTGCAAATAGCGAGAGAAATACAGATCTAGACAGCGAGACATAGAGAGGTGCGTCAAGGTGTGTGGTGGATCGGATTCGGAATGCTACACGGGTTATCCCCAGCGACGGGTGGATTTTCATGGTGTGGCAGCCGCAAAACATGGTTTGGTATTATTAAGCCTGGTGCGTAGAGGAATGTGATTTCTGAGGAGCGTATGGGCGAGGCCTGCTCCTATTCTGCAAGTCAATGGTTGTCTCACCACGAGTTTATCGACTCCAGTCGGACCAAACACCTCAAGCGCTGGGGAACCCAGAGCAGACAAGGTCAGTATCAGTCCTGATAGACCCGCATGCTCCTCCGCCCCCGTACCCGTCAAGAAGAGCTTGTTTACCTTAGCCAGCTTAACGCCGGCCTCTCCGCAGAAACGCTAAGAGAGGAATGAAGAAGGGAGGGGGGGGGCGGGTGATTTGAGACGTTGGATTGTCGACGTTTCCGGCTTCGTGCATAACGTAGCAATCTGCGAAGTAGACGTACATACATGTATTTCATCCGCGAATGCATGCTTGGTTTGACGTTGACAACTCGATCAGAACTACAGCGGGACTAGTGAGGCTTTCGTCCCAGCTAGCACGGCACCAGCATGTCCTCTACAAAACATGTGAGTGACACACACGAAAACGAAAAGCACTTACTGGCGTGTATGCGACGGCCTACAGCAGCAGTGTAGGCACCCTACAACAGTCTCGAGTCGCCCACCTGGGTTCCCTCTCCAACGTTGAACAGGTAGCGGCGCAGTATTCTGTTTTCCGTTGGCTCGCCCCCGCTGTACCTTGGAGCCTTCTCCACGGAGACAATGAGGCACGGGCTGCTCCCATCGTCTCCTGTCCCAATGACCTGCAATCAACAACAACAGCGTCAGCAAAGGTACGCAGCCGGCAAGGCAGGGAGATTGAAAAAGGGGGCGTCGAGACGGCCATGCTTATTACTGCGCGTTATTCCGGGATTGTCGATGTGCTCCGGGAGCTAGATCACCTGGCAGTAGCTATGGATGAGGTCCGCATTCGCCATGGCATCAGCGTCGGCGCGAGGGGTCGTGCCACACGTGTGGTGGTTTGTGGGGCTTCTCTGCGCTGCGCCCTCCGCTTAGGGACTCGGGACTGTCACTGTGTTTTTAGACCAAGCACGCCTCCGCCGTTTTCCACGCATACTTTTTTTTTTTCTTGCTCACGTCGCCTTTTGTGCCAGCACACAGCACGTTCATCGACGTTTACCTCCCAGCACACACACACCCTACACCCTCCATTCCCTGACACGAGAGCACCAGACGACATCACACAATGAAGGTTGCAGCTCTAGCACTGGTGGCGACTAGCACGGCTTCGGCAGCACAGCAGCAGTCATGCTTCGTGCCATCAGTTGGAGGCGGTCTCCGGCCATCTGCAAGGACGACGAGCAGCAGCAGCGTGCAGATGAAGCTTTGGGATTTCGGGCTCAACCGCGAGGTACGATACAGTCAGCTCCCTGCGCTGCTACTCCTCTGGATGCGCCTGTTCCTTCGCTGGGGTGATGCCTTTCGATCGAGAGGGGCAAGCACAAAAAACGTCCTACGTCATGTACCCTCTCTTGGCGATCCGGTGTGATGACTCGACCGCTGTCATCGTATGCATGCGCTTGACGTGGCGAACTTGTTCTGGCTTCGGCCTTGTGCCTTGAAGAGAATATTCGCCGCATGTAGAACCTGGTAGCAAAACAAGAGGGAGGAAGAGAGGCGCAACACCACCGCATCCTCCCGCCTGGCAAAACCCCGAGTAACGGCGGCTTGCAAGCCGTAACGCCTTCGTCGTTGAGACACAGTAATTGTATCCATTCAGGAATTTGGGGATGTGCTGTCGCATTATCGATGAACAACCGTCATGGGCATCAAAAATGCACCGCCTCACGCCGCCACTTGCCAAAGCGACATGTTTAATACGTGCTGAAGGGCTTCGTACTGGAAGCGGGGGGGGGGGGGNGGGGGGGGGGGGGGGGGGGGGGGGGGGGGGGGGGGGGGGGGGGGGGGGGGGGGGGGGGGGGGGGGGGGGGGGGGGGGCTCGTCGGCTGAAGGGTGGTGGGAGGTGATTGCGTGAGAAGGTGGTAGGCATCAACTGCTCGCCAAGTGGTGGCACGACGTGAGGGAGAAAGGTTGCGTAGTGAAAGGCAAGCGGGGCAGCTGGTGTGAGCACACACCGACCGCCCCCGTGATTGGGGACGTGTCCTCCTTGGTCGGAGTATAGGATACGGGGAACTGCTGTAAAGCGCACGAGTCTCGTCGAGACAGAACAGGTCCCAGGAGCAACCACTGCACACCATGGCTCATGTTCGTGTGTGAATATACATGTTGGCCGCCGCCGCCGCCGCTGCTGCTGCTGCAACTTCCGGCGTAACAGGCGATCACCGGGCCTTCCCAGGTGGAAGAGAACTGGAAGGCTCAACAAGAAATGCTCAAGCGACGAAAGTGAGAAGAGGGCGCGTTGAGTACGAAATACACTTAGCCCTGGAATAAAGACGACGAACCGTGAACCAGCAGAGGGAGTGGGTGCTCTGCAAAGAGCAGAACGTGTGGTGTGACTCTTTGTGGTTGACGCTTCAGTCTCTGTCCTACATGTAGCGTAACCCTCTCGAGTAGCGTGTTTACGCACCCACATTTTCTGAATCACTCCGGTGTCGTTTGCCGCCGTCTCCGCTCCTCCCGGCCGTTCAGCAACAAGGGCGCCATGGAAAAATACAAGTCCAGGGTTAACGAGAAGAGGGCACAGGCAGACGCGAAGGTATCAAGTCAATCCACGAACAGAACGCCGCCTGAATAGACACGATCGATCTCCGTAGAAATGCCGTTCCAAAGCCATGTCATCGTAGATTGTAGGCTTGTTGTGATGATGGCGAGGAAGATCGGTGGTGAGCGCGCAAGGCGACCGTACACGGATGTGAAACCACTCCATCTTCGCTCTCGGTGAGATAGATGTCACTGCCCCACTCGTCGCTGCAAAATCCTTGTTGACCGATCACCACTGCTGTAGAGTCAAGCCCTCCTGAAATAGTTGGCCCAAGCAGGTATGTGCCTTGTCTGAGGGTGAAGTCGCGTGCTGAACTTCTCTCTACGAACCCTATCTTTCGTCATCGTTCTTCGTCGTTCTCGGCAGGCGAACAAGTGGAAATGGCAGACCGAGAAGTCCAGCTTTGACCCGCTCGTGGCGTGGAAGAAGATGAAGGCAGAGGGCAAGATCGACGAGATTTACGACGTGAGAGACGCACACACACAAGGAGACAGCGACACATGTGATAGGAGAGACAGAGACACAGAGAGAGACGGAGGAGACTCGCGATTTCAAGGACGACCCTCATGTTGGGGGGGTGCGCAGACCAGATAATGTGCGGGGCGCACGCCTCCGAACAGTCCGCGCGGGGTGTTTGCAACTCGTGGGCAAGAAACCGGTACTTGAAATGTTAGTTCTCCGAATGATGAAACGGGAAGTCTGCGGGCGGAGTTCGCAATTCGTTGCCGAGGAAATGGGAGTACGTCGGAACATGGCAACGACGCGACCGACCTCCCGGTGCCCGTGCTGTGTATCGGCTGTGGCACCCTGACAGCCGCACAAGCCAAGTCCTTCCCCTCCACCATCACCAGACTGCTCATGCAGGTGGATACACTCCTACTCGGAGAAGTCATCAAAATCCGCTCAAAGCAAAACGCTTGCTTGAGCGATTTTTCATTGCTACATAGCATGGATCGCGCTAACCGGCTGACCAATGAAACACGTTTGCTTTAGCGACTTTTCATCGTTGCCATCGACCGCGCTAACCGACGAAAACCATCAGTGTGGCTGCCTGGCAACAGGCAAGGATTCTAAAGGCCATCATGATATGTGCGCGCGTGTGTGTGGCTTCTGTCCGACCAGGAGGGTGAGAACGAAGAAGGCGGTATCCCGATCCCCATGGCCAGCTTCGGGGTGGGAGGCAGCTTCGGCGTCGGCGGGAAGTGGGACGAGGGCGGACGGTTCGACCTCCGACTTCCCTACGCCGATCAGGTGCAAAGCCTTGCTTTTTTGTTATTTTGGTTGTTTTTTGTTTCTATTTCTCATGGTTGCTTTGGACGCCTGGCTGGCTGCCTGCGCTGCACGTGGAACTCTACTGGTGTGTGTACGTAATATCGATGTACTACATCGTTCAGACTACAATGCCGGTTGTAGACAGTGCTGAGTACTTACAGTGAAAAAGGAGGAACCTACTGGATGCGGGGCTGATTCAAAATATGTAATTACATCTGGGACCAAGCAAACAACGCGGCCATGCTTGACTTATACTACCGCTAGTCTTACATCTCGTGCTACACCTATGATTGTCTTTTTGTACATGTTTGAGGTCTGCTGCTGCTGTAAGCGGTTTTGGAAGAAGACCGATCAGACGTTTTCTCCTCCGATTATGACATACATGTTAAGCAGGAAGCTGATTGGCCCCTCGTCGAAACGCGTGTCTTGTTGAGTCAACAACATCACGCATGAGCGGTCAAATCGGAGTACCGACTCCTTGCGGCGAGTACCGACCAAAATGCGCGTCCGCTTGTAGGTTGTGACGAGAATCCAGAATACTTTGTTGGGAAACAGCGTGTCGGCAGGGGGGAGATTGTTCATGTTTTAGCGTACGGTAGGTGTTGTGGCATCGCTCGCACAAGAAGAGCGTACCTTGAGAGGATCGTCGTCGACCGAGTCGGCGTCAAGAAGGGTAGGGCAGAGGGCCTTGGCCACAGTGAGACGATGGTGGTTGATGTGTGGTGCCCGAACTCATGGGCATGCACGAGTAGGGTCACCACCCGTCAACATCAATCGCGCCCACGGCCCTCTGCCGAACTTTGTTGTTGACGCCGACTCTGTCGACAAAGGTCCTCTGGAAAGTCTCGCTGCTGGCGGAAGCGCTTCTCGGCCGCTGCCGAAAAGTGTCCACAAAGCTCTACGGTGATTGATTCTAAGCGCAGAGGTCAAATCTCATTGCACTGACGTTGTTTGGCAACCTCGTATTGCTTGGTTTGAGTTCGATGGCCTCGCGTGGGCATCGCATTAGCTGAGGTCCGGAATAGGACACGTTGGGCAACGAAGGCGTTAAGCATAAGGGACGGGGCTCGAGGAAGCGGGGTCACTGCTAGCTCGCGGCTCACCCGGAGCCGACATGCCTACGCGGGGCAAGGGCGTTACCTCACCAATGCTCCACACAGTAGATGAGAATCATGCAACACGACCGTGCCAAACAACGCCAGTGTAATGAGAAGTTGATCTCTTCACTTGGAACCAACCATGGTAGAGCTTCGTGAAGACTTGTCCGAGAGTAGATAGGACAGGTTGTTGCTGCTTTCCTCTGTTCTCTCCTTGATTACGCTCTCCTGTTGCCTTCCAACACAAAGCCCAACGTACACAGATCCCAAGCGCACCCTGAACGGAAGGGCGCATGCCTCGGCATGAACCCCGAATCTTGCATGGCGTCACATCATAACACCTGATCAAGCCAAATGCCACGGTCAAGCACGACCACATGGCTACCTCCAAATACGATAGCAGAGCGTTGTGAACATTCATCGCCGGTATGATGTTCTCATCACCTACCTGCACCCCGCACCCCTCAATTCCACACGTCACTCCTATAGTCAGTAGTGTCAGTGCTATCACCCCCGCTCATCACCAGTAGCGCACACCCTGCAAGTGCGGTAGCATTGCGATAGTTTTTGCACGTTCGGCCGCAGGCACGGTACGGAGTGTTGGAGGCGGTGCAAACTCACCGCCTATTTAGTTCCAAGCAGCTCCGGTCCCTGCATGTGTGCGGTAGTGATATCACACACCCTTCATGCCTTCCGCGACCTGCAATTCTTGTCACCCGGGCTATCCAGCATAGCACACACCCCACAGAAAACAACACGAGGTGATAATTTTTTCAATCGGCAAATTATCGCGGGGTCGAGGCCTCTTGTGTCGTACACGGTACGGATGTTAGAAGGTACCGAGCGGGGGGTTTCATCGTGAAGACAAGTACTGTATAGCCGCCTCCCCATCCCGGGGAGCAATATCGATACTGTAGGTACGCAAAACAATTGTGAGCCACCTCCGGCAAAGTAGGAAGGATCGATTGGCGATCGGTCCAGTCCTCCGTCCTATCGAGGACGCATGGTCCATGGCCTTGCCGCTAAGGCGTGCAAAACAAGAAAACGCCCCCCCCACCCTACGTCGACGAAGACATAAGACGGTAGACGAGGAAGACGACGAGTTCACATGTGATTGCGGCTTCGAATGCATGACCGTGTTCATGTAGTCGTGGAATGTCCGCTGTACAAGGAGAGGGGAGTGTACGTGACTGAGCTGGGAAAAATACATGGGACGTACATGGAGATGTTTGAGGCATGGAATAGAGAGGAAAGGACGGTTGCTGTACTGGGGGAAAGGAGGTGGGTTGAAAAGGCGGGAAGAGATATCGTTAGGATAGACAGACTAGGTAAGACATTTTTGAGCCACCTTTGGCAAAGTAGNCCCCCCCCCCCCACTCTAGTTGGACCACGGCGGATATTTCAGGGTACAGAGCGGAGACCGGAACATTTTTTAATGTGCAAAAAGAAAGCAACTGTTGTACCTATCACCACCGAGTTAGACCGAAACTGAACGATACTGAGCGGCGACAGAAACGGTTTTAACGTCAAGACGACAACAACAATAACAACAACTACTCCTGTACCCCCCACCAGGGCTACGTGGACCCGGATGAGGCTCCGATGAAGAAGATCGGAAGCATCTTCGGCTGGAACAAGAAAAAGGAAGAGGCCGCGGAGGCTGCACCCAAGTCCGCTGCCAAGAAGGGCGCCAAGGGCAAGAAACCCGCGCCGGCCACTGAGTCCAAGCCGAAGAAGACCGGCTGGTGGTAAAACAGACGCCTTGTTTTGTTGTGGATCAAGACTTAAAACAGAGGGATAAGACTAAACTGAATGGCTTGTTGAGGTCGACGACAAGACTGAGGAAATGGGCTTATTTTCGTGGACTCGGACTTTAACTGACGGCTTATTTTGGTCCACTGATACTGAACAGACGGGTGTTTTTGGGCGACGAAAGACGACGAAAAACTGCTTCTGTTGTGTTGGTTTTTCGTTTATTTATTTCTCGGGGCGATTATCTTTTTGTTTGGTAGGGGCGCCAGGGGAGACACCCCGGATTTGAGTTTTCGACGTTTTCCGGGTGGCGTGCTGCCCCCGTGCTTTTGTTTCGGGTGTTTTTTCATCGAAGACTCTTGAATCGCGGGGCGGGCGAGGGGGGGGGAGGGGGTCAATGCACCCCCCACGAGCTTGTATCGGTCGGGGACTTATTTTGTGGTCTTGCTGTGGGTCGGAAAGTCGGCAATACCCTCTGCCCGCCTTCATCGTGATTTGATGGATACTCAGCAGGGGCGTTTCCGTTGTGTCGAGTTTGCTCTCGTGTTGCTCGCACGTATCCTTCGTTTGTTACATACATTTTGTCTTCCTCCGTCGTACGGCCTGTGGTGCGGTGAGGTGGTTGACTCGGTGACATGCAGGGAGAGGAAGCATGTATCATGGCGGCGAGGGCGCGTTAGACCTTGTACAAATATCAGAATCGCTCGAGGCTCTTAGATGGAAGCAAAACGTCCATTGCACGATCGTTCGTGGCAGATAGAGGAGTGTCGAGAGAGAGATTCTCCTGGTCACGAGGCGTGCATGTGTGTACATAAGAGTCAACGCCGGAGAAGGAGAGGGTTGTACGGTAACTGCACTGCGTGCGTTTTGTCCGTGAACGTGCGCCAATCGGGCTTGTCTAATTCGTGGGCGTTAAGGATGTGGTGTTGCGTGTTCGCTGAAAGGACGGTGGGTGGTGACACATCGCGAAGAAGATGATGCGGGCGTAAATGAAAAAAGAATATACAACAGAGTGCTACAGACAATGTCGGTATCTGCCCCGGCCTGGTATCGCTGTGACAGGGGAGACGCGCTCTTTCCCCTATTTACGTCTCGGAAACTAAAGAGGCCGAACAGGAATCCGCGACGGGGCATGAGACGCATGTATGTGTGCTCTAGATTCTACCGGCTAAAGGAGCGCGCAGCGATCGTCTAACCTCATTTAGCTTCACCAATGCTACGGGAACCGCTGGAGAGTACCTGTACCCGCAATTCGTTACATTCACGGACGGACCGGGTCAGACAGCTAAAGTGTCGATGAACAACATAAACGCGAAGCTCTCGCCCAAGAACTGAGTGTGTAAAGAAAGTTTGCCGTCCGGCCCTTAGCAGCCCACCGGTTACTACCTCCTTGGTTCAATGTACAAAGGGGAGACGGGACATCGAGTAACAACCAATACGCCCACGAGTTCGCTTCCTCAAACGCGCAAAAATGGTCTTGTTGTTTTCAAAGACGACTGCAGGAGGGCATCTCCTTAGGGAAAAGGCGGGTAAAGGTTGTTTCCGCTGTGCGTCAAGCTGGCAGAATAGATCAGGCCGTCGCGTCATTGCCCTTCCAGGCACAGTGACACATCTAGCTACAACGCGCCAATGTTTGTCTCGACACCGACACACTAGCCTACTTTGCGAAGGTGTACCGATTCTGGTAAAAGTCAATCGACGGATACCCTGCGAATCGGGTCCTTAAGACTCTCCACCCACAGAATTTACCCTCAACTGGGAACGTCTTGTGGCCAGGATGGGTATTTCGATGGAAGTGTCACAAGGTTCTTTGTAGCATCGACTCCAAGATGTTCTCAAGAATGACACACGTTGTGTTCATGGGAAAATGTCCAAGTCAGGAGAAAAAGTGTACAGTTAGCGCCCGCAATTAAGAAACGCTTATTTCAGGTCCAGCCTGGAATTCTTGCTGGGCTATAAAGTCAAGCGTATGTCGTTCAATTTCTCATGGCAAGTTTCGTGCCGCCAAATCCTGCTGAATTTCTTCCGTCGGCAATTTCATATTTTCTCTGCTCACGAGAGATGGCGGAGAGCACCATCAAAACCGTACAGCAGACAGCCTATCGTGGTTCGCAGCCTGTCTGGTGTGCTGTGCAAGACCCGGAGCGCCAGAGAGCGCCACAGCCGGCAAGGGGCCGAAGAGGGGCGGGGGCGTACTCTTGTGTTTTGCATGCCTTAGCGGTTAGACCATTGACCACGCGTCCTCGAGAGGACGGAGCATTGTTCCCACAGGACC